GTAAAGCGTCAGCTCGCAAGAGACGCGAAGCGCGCTAGTCACGCGCTCAAGGAGGAGGATCGCGCGCTTCGGTGGCGCACCAAAGAGAAAGATATACCATCACTGTTCATAGGATATCATTCGTTTTACCCTGTGTTTCGTCCAGCGCTCTTTCATTCTCATTTTTTCTCATTATAACACCGTCCAAAAGACTAATAACACACTGATATATATGCATATAGGAAACACCTAGAAGAACATAGAAGAAAAACAACAAAACAACCTTAGATTGTGCCCGCCTAGCTCAATAGTATATTTTCTCTTCGCACGCATGACGCGGCACCATGCCCTTTTTACCTTAGAACGCGCGCATAGGCGCGCAATATTCCCGCGCCCATGCGCCTCATGCGCGCTTCCCGCGCCTCGCTCATAGGAAGGTGTAGATGTCGACAGCCGCACGAAGAAGACAAGTCAGATAGGACATCCGCAAAGTTTACCATTTTTTCCTTCGCATTTTCACATATAGTTTTACTCACACTGTTCAAACCTTACCATCTAATATTTAGCGCGCCTAGCAGGACTTGGTTTGGACATGGATTGGATTGCTCTTGGACCGCGCCACTTCACATCACACCCACGCACACATACTGGACTCCAGGATCATTGCACAACAGGTCCTCACAGCATACAACACATGTGACACTCACGCGCATTCTCGCGCCTTGTGCGCGCGCGCTTTCCCGCGCTTCACGCTGTACATGCACGTCTCACTCATGCTTCGCGCACCACATCCATATCACTCTCACATCATCGCCTCACACCCATGGAACACTATTCACCCCAGAGTCACCCTTGCAATTCGCCATGCTACACTTTATTCCCGCACCTTCACGCATAGCGCGCGCACATTCTCGCGCCTCGCGCGTACCATGCGCGCAAATTCCCGCGCTTCATGTGCATCCGCGCGACAATTCCTGCACTTGCGCATTCATCACCCCACAACCCAAGCATCATACATGCATCGCACTCGCATACTATCACGCAAAATCCTCACCACGCGCGCGCTGAGTGGGGACACTCAGAATTTAAGTCCCTGGGAGATGTAGAGAATCATGCCTCTCATGGCGTGATATGGTAGTTTTCACCAAGGAGTATACAGCACGAACTCATAGCATTACTCTGTGCGCTACCCACAGCTATCTCTATATGAGGCGCAGCTTTCCCACGCAACGCGCGCCATGCGCGCACCATTCCCGCGCTTCACGATGTATACGCGCGCACACGTTCCCGCGCTTGCGCGCCCTATAGCGCCAGCCATCCAGATGCATCCATCCACTGTCCACCAAGCTCCCTAGTATGTATATTTCCATTTCCTTTATTAGCATAGTTCCACCTTTATTTTTATCATAGTTTCTCACTCATATATATTTTTACATACCTACTCGGTAGCGCTTCGGCTCCGCATGAGCGCGCTTAGGCGCGCTATATAAGCGCCAGCAGTACATACTACACTGGACCTACTTTTCCTACTTTTCACTTACTAGTTACTACCCACTTACTACTTAGCAGAATATAGTAGAAAGCTATTCCTTTACATTTTGCACTCTTATATCTCTTATCTTGCTTTATATCACTACTTAAGCTTAGTTTCTCATCTCCGCATACGCGCGCGCACTTTCCCGCGCTTCGCGCTAATACGCGCGCGCGTTCCCGCGCCTTTGTACCTTGCGCGCTCCTGCGCTTTCTCGCGCTTCGCTTAAGCGCACACTTCTAGATCCTTGCTGCACTCACTTCCCCTATAGGGTCGAACGCACTTGCTTCTCAAGTAACGCAGACTAGGCAGCGCGCGACCTTACAACTTTTACAGATACAGTCAGGAGCATCTTTTGTTCCTCATTGTATTGTTGTTTCTACAACGGGATCGTGATTCTGTGTTGTGATGGCATCAAACACCGGTTTTACCCCTGGATATTCACATATTCTGCGGACTATCCTGAAAAGTAAGTCATGTATATCTATAGAAATCAAAACTAACTCAAGCCAGGGTCCTCGTTGCTACAATTCGACAATTGGGAGGTTGTCCATGCTCACGATGTCTTATACCAACAAACAGGCTCCACTGTCTGGGGATGGCTCGCGATAGGGCACAACGTCGGACTCATGCACGATCCGATGTCACGAGGAGTCAGCTTGTTATTACTGCACGCCGTCAAATATATGAGAAACATTACGGTGTAGATAGCACGGTGGTTGAGGCACTTCTAAAGCCTGAGTCTTGGGTTCCGACCCCTGTGAGCATGAATCTTACTTTTTCCCCTCGCCTTTATCAACCTTATTGAGTAGAACATTTTGTCGGACCGCCTGGGCCGATTTGGATTCAATGTATTCATCACGCTCGTCGTTGATTTTCTGCACGAGTTTGAGCTTGGAGTGTGGCGTATGCTTCTAGTGCATTTACTTAGAATTCTTACCTCCATCAACAAGGATTTGGTGCATGAACTCGATAAAAGGTTTGTGGGATATCTATTTGATGATAACTTGCCAGGCTAACACTCAACTTTGATAGGTATAGACAGGTTCCTCCGTTTGGGCCAGCCACCATTAGACGGTTTTCTTCCAATACATCAGATATGTCGAACATGGCCGCCCGAAACTTCAAAGATCTCTTACAAGTATGGAATCAATCTCATCAGTAACCGTGAACTAATATTTCACCAGTGCTCTATCCCGGTTTTTGACGGCCTTATCCCTGATGATAACCACAACAAAATTGTTATCGAACTCCTATTCATCATGTCACACTGGCACGGACTTGCGAAGCTTCGCATGCATTCCGACTTGACCTTGAGCATTCTTGACCAACAGATGACTGATCTCGGAGCACAATTTCGTTTATTCAAAGATCAGGTGTGCCCATCATACCAGACACAGGAGCTAGATCGTGAGGTTGGTGCGCAATCTCACCGACAGGTAAAGGAAGCAGCCAAACGGGCAGAGACTGTTACAGGGAGAGCTCGCAAAGGTGCTAGCGTTAAAGGAAAAGAAAAAGCGACTCCAGAACAACCACCTGATGCACCTGAACTAAAGCAACCACGAAGGAAGAAGTCATTCAACTTCAGCACTTACAAGTTTCATGTGCTCGGGGACTACGTCGCCTCCATCTGTCATTTTGGAACTACAGATTCATACAGCACTGAACCAGTAAGTTGCCACCTACTCTCCATGTATATTAATTTAATCTTTCCAGGGAGAGTTAGAACACCATACGCCAAAAGGCAGATACCGTCGTACTGATCGTAGGGTATTTGTTTGTCAACTGACTCAGATTGAGCGCCGTGAGGCGCGCTTGCGCTGCATCAAACAATGTCAGCGACAGCAAACTATTCATACAGACCTGTCTGACATTGCGAGTGATCCCAAAGTACACCATCACATCGGCCAAAGCGAGAAGTTGTTCGATGAGTTTGGTCAATACCTCCGCAAGCATGCAGGGGATCCTGCTATAAAGGTAAACAGTCGTTGCAACATCTTGAGTCTTTCTGAGATATTGTTTAGGACTTTCTCCCTCAATTGAAAGAACATATTGTTCGTCGCCTCAGATCGGAAATCGCTGAATCCCCTATGGAAAGTCCTCCCGAACAGCACAACATTCTCTTCAGGCGCAACCGGATTTATCATCATAACCTCGCCAGATTCAATTATACTACCTATGATGTTCGAAGGGCTCAAGACGTTGTCAATCCCAGGACTCCTCACTGCAATATCATGTTGCTGAAACACGATCGTATCGATGGTGAGCGTGAAGATAACTATCTATATGCCAAAGTCATTGGCATACACCACGTTAACGTCGTGCTCTCTGCAAACGTGCATGAATCTCGCCGGATAGAGTTTCTTCTAGTTAGGTGGTACGAGTCTGTACAAAGCCACACATGGGACACACGTGGTTTGGGCCGTGTTCGTTTCCGACCTCTGCAAAGCCTGATGGCTTTCGGTTTCATAGACCCCGGAGTCGTTCTGAGAGGGTGTCACGTTATACCGGCCTTTTCTTGAGGCCAACACAATCCGGGTGAACGCGGAATTTCTCCTCTTGCAGGTGACAGGTATGATTGGCATGAATACTACATCAATAGGTGAATGAACTGTCTCAGGCTTCCATCATCTAAATGTCCTCAATATCATCCTACTAGCTTCGTCGATCGCGATACTGTTATGCATTTTCATTACGGCCTCGGGGTGGGGCACGTATACTCTCATCAGGCAAACCCTAGCTCGACACAAGACACCCCTTGCCCTATTGCACAAACACCGACGCAGACAGAAGATGAAGATTTGGATAACGGAGAGAGAAATGAAGCTTTTGATGATGAAGAGGACGAAGAAGATGATCATGTTGGCGCTGAAGAACTCAATTTCTTTGATCAGGGCCTCAGTGCTAGCACAGTGTCGCTCTCACTGGCGCTGGATAATATGTTTCCCATTGACCATACTTTTGACTATGAAAATTAATGTTCCTCGATCTCGCTTACTAGACTGCCTCGCGCGTGACTCGCTTTCGCTTCCCCCCTGGCTTGGCATATCATCCTCGCTTCCCCCTTGCATGTGCATGTGGTAAATCGCCATCGACCTGGTATGTCGTAAAACGTTGTCGCTTCTTCCTGGCGCGGCAGTAGTCGCCACAGCTTCTTCCTGGCGTGATGTTATTCGCCGTCGCTCTTTCTGGCTGTGTAACCCAGTCTTGCTCTGCCTCGTTGCAAATGGCTGGCACGCCCTGGCTAAATTTCGAGTCGCCGTCGGCAAGGGCTGGCATACATCGGCAAGGGCTGGCACACATCGGCAAGGGCTGGCGTACTGCGGTTGAGCTCCGGCACGCCATTAGATGGTTGAAAGGAGTAGATCCGTGCGCACACACTTAGTACAAGTCTGGATACTTAAAGTCACTCGTCGCTCTTTTTTAATACATATCAACATGCAACACTCAAATTTACTCTTAGCTGCTCCAGCTACTGACAGTCCAATCTATGTCTATGTACACAGTGAAAATACGTGCAACTGGGTTCTTCGACTTCTTCCGCTCAGGGTAAGCACAGTTCACTGTGAACCATGATCGCCATCGCTGACGTTTCTGTAGAACGATGAGGTTGGCTATCATCGATCATACCTGTACTTGGCTTAACCTCTATTTCAGCCTTTCCACGGCCTCTCCAGTCGATTCTTATTCATAGGGTATGCCGCCCATGACTATCAACTCGCCCCAATTTATGTGAGTCAATACCTTTTCAGCTGATTCTACGATCTCATCGTGTTCATTTGCAGTGGCCTGAGGAATATCAAGAATTTTTCGAGCCATCACACAATATCATACGTCACATTGGATTGCTGGCATCTGATCATAACTTCTCAAGGTATCCAATATATGAGATTGAGGTGAGAACTCGATATGATGCCACCAAGCCCACTTCTCATAGGATATTATATTAGCCTCATAGTTCTGGATTTCTCGAAGATATTCGCCCACCGTTTTGCGGGCCCAGCCCACAAGGTCTTCTGTGTCCCATCTGGGTGGTGAGTTCCCTTCTCGGTGCCATCACATTACTCGACTCATTTAATCGCATCACATTTATAGCTCGAACGACTGAATGGGATTCCGTTCAACCCCGCACGATTCCCAAACGGTTTCCTGACTCCTGTCCCTCCCAATTCCGTTAACTTACCCGTGCAGGTATCTTGGAACACCTTTGATCCGTTCGTCCAGCAACAATCACTCTCGTTCTCTGAGATGTTGCTCCCTCTGTCCATGGATTTTGACAATGATCGCACTGTCGATCTCACTGTCGCATCTACGGTAGACGACATGTTTGAATCTGCCTTTGACGATAGCAGCTTCCTTAGCAATCCGCTCATCATTGATGGGGCAGATGTTCCTCACGCAGAACTTCATTGGAGGTTGACGGTCAGGGACGATTCCCTTGACTGCAATCAAAAAAAGTCACTCAAACTCGCGTTGCTGACGTCGTGTTGGGGGCGCCCAATCAAGTTGGCAAGTCATATCTATGTGGGCCACATATTGGTTGGGATGCCCGCCAATCCATTCTCTATGCGTGAGCCGGACTGCAGGCAGCTGATAACTACCAGCTTCTTGAGAGCCCTCCATCTCAACCTCAAAACATACGAACAAATACGTGAAATACCTTGTGGGTGTCCCTCTTCAATCACAGATGACATTATCTTACGATGGGTTCAGTGACAGTTGTGAACAATGTCGACAGCAAGACTTGTGTGTATTGGTCTCAATTGAGAACCAGGGTGAGCTTTTCCCGGCGTGCTACATTTACTTATTGCTGAACATTTCGGGTAGTTCCTAGATTACCCCATAGATTTTACTTCCGAGCTGAGGAAAGTAGTAAGGGGTGGGACGACTCCAGATGCCGGGTTTGGGAACAAAACGGAGCAGGAGGCCCAGATGAAACTTCACATCATCGATTTGATGAACTCTGGTGACGAAAACATGGTAAGAGATCGCACATCATACAATCAGATCTTTTGACAATCTTATCCTTCAGATTCAAGAAGCCATCTGCCAACTTATAGCCACTCAAGGGTTTATGGAAATCCTCTGGGCTTCCTTATACCGACCCATTGCTGACTTTCCTCAAGGCCAAGCGCGATTGGCAGATCTTTATCCCGAAGCCATCCAAACCTTGACGGGTTATCTTGGAAAGGGTATCGTAGGTGTACTTGTTACCCTCGTAAGTCTCTTCCCTTCTAGTAATTGTCTGTAAACATTGATAATTTCTCGTATCAGATGTATCAGTCATTCATACCGGCTCACGCGGATAGGATACAGCTGAAAACGCTGGAAGTATACCCTCACATCATGTCTGCCCTAGATGTGATGTATGCGAATCCATTCCGTTTCGAGACCTTTTTTGATGTGGCCCGGAAGCTCCCTCACATACGGTCAGTATCTTGACTTATTTTTTGGTCCTGCTCATTGCGACATATGTCCAGGGAGGCAAATGTGTTGTCCATTGACCCCAAGACTCGTAATGCGAGGCTAATCTTAGACCTCGTCACGAATGACAGGTGAATGAAAGTCATGGACGATGTCAGAGACATAGTTCTCGATCCGCTTCATGATGACTCGGGAGTCCCTTACACACAATTTAGGCTTCCGCATTCGTTTAAGTCCGTAGATATTCACCAGTGTTACTTCACAACGCTTCTGCCTCTATAGTAAAGATTCGGGTAAGGTCATTGATACTATTACAATTGTATTCCGTGATGTAACGAGCACAGGTGGTGTATAGATTAGTTACAGTTGCTTTGAGTCCATGAACGAAATTACACGAGTGAGTAATCTACTGAACGAGTGGTGAGGTGTCATCATACATCGTAAGTCGTGATGTGAGTGTTCTTGTGGTATGTAGGCTAGATATAGCCTATCGTTTCAACACTAGGATGCTTGCCTTGAGTATTTGAAGCTCGCAATTGAAGAAAACTTACTCTCTGCACTGCCGATTTCAAGCGTTGGATCACATGACCGACACCGTCCCTCGAAAACATGACCCATCTCATGATTGGACTCCATAGCGGCGCTTGCGGGACATTCAAGCCGGCCGCCTCCAGTGCCGAAGTCAGGATATGAGTGACTGACATGATCTCAACGCGCACCTTGTATTTTGCCTCTAGATATTCTAGATGAGTCTGTTGAGTGTTAGCGTTGACGAACTCTCAAAGCAAGTAGTACTTACGCAGGCATCACAGTCAGTTAGCTGGGGTCCGTTGATCACGTGTGTCATTTTGTGTCTAGTAGTAACGTAATGTCGATGTCAATTAGCAGATCCGATCGAGGAGATAATTGACTTTTCATACCTTATTTGCCGTAGTTGGTAATTAAAGTTGTTGTTTAAGGAAATAATGTGGATATGTGAAGTATTTGTATTTGTTTATACCCCATAGTTGTTCACTACTAATCGACCTGCACTTGCTGGATTACGTAATTTTCGAACTCTCTCCCTTACCACTACCATCGTTCGATCTGGTCCTTCATTCAGTATCCCCTCCGTGTTTGTAAAATACATTGGTACATTTATTGTTTGCCTCATTCAAGGCCCATCGCAGCACAACACTACATTGACAATCCCGCAACAGGAGAACATGGTGCGTTTAATCGCAACATGCATTTTGACTTTGTCCGGCAGCTCAGGACCTTATACACTAGGCAACGTTAGCGTCCCAACAGCAATCTGCGACGCTGTCTGATCGTGGTATTGGGATCTGGCCGACGCAATTGCCCCGATATGCCGAAGTGGTATCACTGTAAGTACTCATCATTGATTATGAAGTATATTTATTGATTTTTGTATATAGTACAGATGACGCATATGAGGATAACTTGGTCTGCAAGAGGGAAATAAGTGATCCTCCGTTCGTCACCTTATTTTTGACTGGTGTTAAACTAATAAACTCCGGCAGTCCCCTAGTATACGGAGACTGGCAAGAGTTAGTCCATCCATTAGGCAGTACATATTTCTATAATTCCAGAAAGATAAGCACGCTTGTACCCATGATTTACCCTACCTCATGGAAATCTAGAATGCGTATATGTTGACGAACTTGAGGAACTCGAGAAGTCTACAGACACTCGATGGGTTCGTAAATGCATCACGAGCCGCGGCGAAAGAAGATGCGTGGACGTTGGTCGTCCAGCCAACGGTCTTTATGGGCGAAGAAAGGTTTCAATATTATTATGTAGTCCCTGGCAGTCGCATCATTGCCTGGCTGGAGGATCTAGATGGCTACATTCTCTTCCGAGCTTGTGTCAAGCCAAGCGAATGGAGGCACAAAAGTATGTCATTTTTCAATTTTACTTCAGGAGCTTGATCTGAACAACACAGGACTTGAATTAGAAGCTCAATATTGGTGAGCGGATAACATTGGATAGACATTGAGCTGAACATTTCTCGCTCGTTGGTAGGAAACATTTCGAGTACTTTCCACATGATTTGAGAATGTCTCGATCGGAAGTGAGATGTATACGAGGAGAACTGGTTTGCTACCTTGCAGGTAAGCTCTACACTACTGCAGTGATGCTCAAAATAACGGCAAATACAGAAGCAACGACTTTGAGACAATCCACTGTGGCGTCCATATTCTGGACTTTGGATGAGATGAATCAAATTGTCGGTCAACTGGCCTATGTTGGTATGTGTTCTAGTCTCACTGTGCAGCAGCCACGATGAGATTAATTGAGTTTTGTCATCTCCTCTTTAGAAGAAATCACGGAGAATGATCTGGTCCCAGAAACCAGAGTCGTATCATGTTGTTTGTGAGTTTGTGAGACCGAGAATTTCAAATGCTAATCTTTTTAAATAACAGGCAGAATCATGTACATGCTACGTGCGTCACTCTCTTTTGAAGTATACACTATTAATCACGCAGAAACATAGGACATCACCAGTATTTGCACCGCCATAACCAACCTGAGGCTTGCCTAATCCGAACACATACAGTAAGAGAGAAGCACAGAAAGTTCAAACTTCTGCATTTTATGGGCAACGCCGCAGCTACGATGTTCTGCATGCCCATCACTATTGCTCGTGTCAAGAGCACTTCTGTCGACGGTATCATAAATGGGGTAGAAGTTCAGTCGTTTATCAATGATTTCAGCAGTCAGACTCGAAATCAAATCACCCTGGTAAGTCGTATATCAGTACCGTGAACGTCCCATTTAGTCTGCTCTTTTAGGCAGGTATCTCCATGGCCTTGGATATTGCTATTCTTGCCATCCCATGGTTAGGTACAACAACGACTGCACAGACATTGTGCTCCTGCTCCTTCCTTTTAGGTGTCGGCTGTATTTTTGCGGGCACGATAATACACCACTTCGACGAGAGGATGAGATCTTTGGACTTTGCGGTTCGATTTTTTAATTGTTCTGCATCTGAGACTAACATTGCCTACTGAACAGGCCTATTATCTGCGAAAGAAGATGGTGATGCTTCTGGTTATTACAAGCATACCGACTTGTTTTTGCATATTGAGGTGAGCAAAAGTGATTAAGGCTACGATTACTTAGCTTGCTCATGGAATCACCATCAGTGTGACAACTTCGATACTTGGATTTCTCGCAGGTATCACTATAGACTTCAAGCCATCCGCACCCTCAGTCATTGCGTGCTTTGCTATGCTTGCCGTTGTGGTAGGTTCGCTGATTATATTGGTGGTGGCCAGTTACGGTCCAGGCCCAGCTAGGATAAGGCTGCAGTAATGTCTTTGTCCTAAGGGCATTTCCACATGTCTCGCTCGGAAGTCTAGAGGTTAGCTCTAGTAATTAAATAGACGATGTAATTTCCATATTCTTTGTCTCAAAGTACCTACTCATACGTTGTTGGATTCATCAGAATGTTCTGGACGTCTTGGTGCAAATTTTACGGTTCAACTTAACGATATCGGCGACCGCACAGGGCAATTCTTTGTTGTATGCCATCATAATTGCGGCTGCATCACCACGCTACGATATCTTGGTCACAGAACTACCTGGGAATCACCAACATTGTGCGCTGCTGCAACCACTTCCATGTTATAATGTCTTCTGTACTTACTCCTGACCCTCTATTTTGTCGTCCTCATTATCTGAGGAAAGCAGTCAGTTCTTTTCCAGGGATTTCGCGTGGGATGTACTTTGAATGGGGGAAGGGGCATCCCATGCAATCTGACCAGGAGAGTATGTACTGATCCCACTTGGTGCGTATTCTTCCAAGATTTGGACCCGATAACTTTCTTCCAGCCAATGAAGCCTGTAGCTTTGATACAACTCTTGCAGTTTTGAACAGCGCAAGTCTGCAAGCCGTAGTCGTTCTTTGAGATTGGCTACGGAGTCCTCGCCTGTTTCACGGTTGTGCTCCGGCAGAAGAACAGGATTCTTGTTATGCTCCGCTGAAGATATGTTCTTATCAACATCCGTCGTTCTGAACTAACATAAGCTTTGTGAATAAGCAATAGTGGTGTTCACAAACCTTACAATACCAAGCCCCTTAGGCTTGTCCCTCTGATTGGTGTTTCCTACTGCTTCAATCCTAATGGATGACGTTAGTAAATCCTGCCACAAGTGCGTCATCAGAGTTACCGGAGGTTCAAGCTAATGATGTGTCCGGATATGTTAAAGGTTTGGCTCTGAGTCAAGGATTGTTGCATATTCTGGTTGAGCGCAGGCAATTTTATCTTTTAGTACTGGTGAAATTATTTACGGAGCAGCTGCCTTTTGATGGTACGGAATTCACCTCAATTGATTCAACCGAATGTTAATCCGTCGGGTGGTAGGCCGTTGTAGCCCCCGGTCACCACCGCCAGCGCCCAGGCCCCCAATCACCATGGCCAGCCACCTAGCCAAGCTATCTTGGGTTTTGCTTGGCTGCCACCAGGTACGTCGGTTACACAGTCTTACATGTTAGCGTCTGTAATAAAAGCTAGCCTTTAGTACCAGAACTCTGCTACCTCGCCAGCTCCCATGACCTCCGAGAATACCACTTCCAACATTCCGAGTAAACACCCTGCAGTCGGCTCTCCAGATGGGGCCCCGCAAAAAAGCGCAAGTGTTCTTAATGCTTGGTATATTGAGATTTTACAGACTCATCTAGTCGCACAGTTCAACATCTGATCCACTTATCTCCCATGGATGCCACTTCGGTTCGAACAGTATTCAGCTCTGTGCAATTTTCCTTCTCTGCTTACCAACAGGATCCTCAGGTTAGAGCAAATGGAAGATACCTCTTCACTAGAAGACTTCTCTGCTGAGTGAAAATGACTGTGCATCTATATTCGTTTACTGGCTTATTGACGTGTTTGGCAGTGAGCGGCGAGAGCATCGCGTGTTTGAGCACCTCTTAGAATCTTACCCTGGCCTTTTAGAGCGACTACAGAATGGGTCTGAAGAAGAACTTATCCACGTTGGTGAGCTAGTGCGTTTTTTTTTGTGTGCACAGAGGTTGTGTTTATGCTTACTCTCTGCAGATTGGTAAGGGAGCCGCAGGTGCGAGGGGCGACGATACGAAAACATTGAAGTCCGCAGTGCTTGATTGGATTTCCCCAAAAGGAGCAGCAATCCAGCCTCATTTACACAGGAAACTCGAAGATCGACCATGGATTCAATCATGAGCTAACCTGGGTCGTTGCTTTGTCCCGCTGGGTTGGACTGGAAAGACCCAGAGTACAGTTTCAGTTCACTGGTATCTGTGGTCACCACTCATTTTTTACTTCATCACATACAGGACCAGAGAGAACCTCCAAAGCGGAGAAATCTCGGTATGCGGAGATCAATGGCCCGTATTTTTGTATGCCAACTATACTTACGACGCTGATGACCCATGGTGTGGTCTTCTTAGGAATCGCTTACTTGTATCTGTGAGTAGGCACAACTTATTCTATGTTGTCCTTCACTACATATTTTCACTAGGCTTACAAGCACGTTTTCACATCCCCAAGTTCAGTAGACAAAGAACCCAAAGCGACACGGTCTGGAAACACTCGCCTCCATGGCATGAACGCTGTTATGATCGCTTCCATAGCTTATATTGCGACGCAGGTTTGCCTTACAACATTTCCGAAGCTGAACTATCCTGACGCATGACTAAAGGTTCGATTTTCTCTGAGTTCCTCATCAGTGTTTTCACGGACCGATACGACCACAGACTCGGAGACATTCTACCACAGTCTCCTTGACCTGCTCGAGGACCCTGATGAATATAAGGAAATCGACGAGCTGCTGACATGGTGGAACCGGTATGTTACTCGCTCTTTGCCATTTTGCTGGGGCTCATCTGTTATCTTTTACCCAGCCAAGTCTTTCCTACTTCATCTGCCACCAAGCGACCCATCAGCACCAACAGCGCCTTAGCAAAGATCCGACTCAAATGCCTTGCAGTCAAACGGGCTGCAGATTCAAATTCTTTGTAGTCTTCATTCGAGCATTTTTATGTAGTAAATACAATTACAATTTTATAGCAGTCTTTGTGTGCTCTCAGAACAAAGTTAGCACTGAATTGACTACAAGACAAGCCTATCGTCCTCGGATGTGAATTCTTCACTTTGAAGACAACACAATTGAAATTCAGTTATCAAACGATAACTTGTTGTCACTGTGTAGCGCAGTGATCTCCTACTGCCAAATCGACCCATGCGAGCAGGCGCTGTGAGACAATACCTGCAGCTAACTTTATGTTCGAGCTTGAGGGGGATTAAAATGATCAGCTGCAAATGGAATGTAGTGATAACACCCCAGCAGCCAGCTGGCGAAAGTCAACACATCGTCATCACATCGCAACTTTGAACCAAAGTCAGCCCCAGTCCAAAACAGTCTGGCCTCGGAAGGCTATAGAGGATAACAGCATTCAGAGAGTGTTTTTTCAAGATAAAATAACAACCTTCAGTTGCATACCATGATCATCACTCATCAGAGTCAGGGTAGGATGATAACTCACTGTCACTCATTACTTACATTGTGTACTTGAAAAATCTGGACAATGGTGTCTAGTGTCACAATGACTTATCTAATATCAGCAACAAGAGAGATCTTGTCAAGGTTCCAATAGGAAGCACAACTTGCATGTGACAATCATATCAGTACATCATGATATTGCACTACAGTTATTCCACATCCTTTACCCATTGGTGGTGGTGATCCAAAATAGTCCAGCCATATAAACCCCTGTCTGATCTTGAAATTTATTTAGATATTATACAAGAAGAAAACCCTATCAAAAGATATAAGTGATGACCAGGACAGGCCAAAATTGTAGTGTACTGCAAGTGTATGGCACTAATACTCAGATTGGAGACCATGGAGGCTTTCATCGATTTTGCAGCATCTGGCAGGTATTTGCAACAAGACTACCAAGAATACATATCTGGCCATTTCCATCCCACATAGTCCGGGTATTTAAAGCTTTGTAATGTGAAGTACAATTATGATGCATATCGATCAATTTTGCAGCATCTGGCAGATATTACAAAATATACCATCTTGATGACAAGCTGGCAGGTATTTGCAACAAGACTATCAAAAATACATATTTGGCCATTTTCATCCCACGGAGTCCGGGTATTTAAAGCTTTGTAATGTGAAGTACAATTATGATTCATATTGTACATATTGTAGATCAGATAAAGCATTGTATGAGTTTATCATTTTTGTGTCGGTTACCTGATGATCCTACAACTAAGGCTGGCCTTTTGCGCATGAGTGCTGATGCTTGGTGTATGCGCTCTCATGCATGAATTCGTGCATGCAAGTGCATCTGAAAGGCGTTGGACCTGACAGTGAATTTGCCAGGTCCATTCCGGAGAGAAGTTCGCGAATCCTATGACTATGATTGGTTTATTGTGGGTTAGTTGAGCTCTTCTCAACAATCAATTGGAGGGTACCTCACCATTTTCGCTTAGAAATAAAAATTGGGCTGGCAATATCTGGCGGAAATGCCCAATGTGTCATCATAACACCAAGCTCCCACAAAGAATAGAGTTTCTGGCGGAAATCCATGCTGGCACACTTGATGATGTCTTAAATATACGGCTAAAGTAAGTGTTTCATAAAAGCCAGCTTCAAGGAAACAAATCACTGACCATTCAATGGAACCGCTGTCTTCGCCATCCTCTACTATCACCGCCCCACCTAATGATAGTGAAAATGCTATGAGATTAGCCAAAATGATCGCAGAAGCTATGACTTGCTGCTTTGCTCTGCTACACTATGACAGTGCATCCAAATCGATGGTCGAATGGTGTTGGTAAGATGCCTGTTCAATCATGTGTGAATCATAGGTAGTGATACCACTCTGAAATATACAGGCCTGCCGATCACCATGGAACGAAGATTCCGCCGTCTGACTTAGAGAAGTACCGCAACAAATACGAATTTAGGTTTCCGTGCTGCTTGTGCGCTGATAGCGGTGGGAGAGAAACATACGTAGAGGCCGCAGTATACTCTTGGTGGGACAAGGCCACTCAGAGGACCTACTGGACTGCAAGATGTGCCTCTAATATGTGCGGATACCAAGGTCAGCGTTATTCATAACTATGAACACCCTATAATACTGACCATCACCTAGTGAAAATAGACACATACTTCTGCCGGGAGCCTTTGGCTGCCTTCCAATATCCGCGAAGAGGTACGCCTTTCTTCAATGCTGCACCACAGCCTTATTGATGAATGACAAAGTGCAGGAGATCGGTCGTGTTAAACTGGAGTGGAGCTCATCTGAGCAAACTGAGTTGCTGAACAAGCTGAAATCATCATCTGATGATGGGATTACTATGAAGGAGTTTCGTGTTCTGTTCAAATGGTGCACAAAGTGCATGCGAGTAGGAATAAGGCCAGTGATGAATCACCACATTTGCAAAAGGGACGACGACGATTATTATTTGTGTGATCATGCAGTGACAATTTCGAATAGACCGTAATCGTGACCATCAGAGCATGGCCAGCCTTGATCAATATCAGAGTTGTATCCAATACTGAATATCCTGTCTCCTGTCTAAAATTTCACAGAATTTTATGGACCATATCGTTAATAGCATTTTAATTACACACCTTGCAATTGCCCCGCGTCGGATCTGAAAGAATCATCGCGAATTTTACTCAGGGAGCGATGTTGCAAGAATGCCCCAGCGGCCTGAAGCTAAGTGCGGAGTTCAAAAGATGATGGTTCGATTTGCCCCAACAAGTCTGCATACGTACGTCAGACTCACAATGTCATGATGGCAGCTGCGCAGAACTGCAATAGTGTCACTTCTGGCGACATTCTCTCCTTGTACCACCAGTACTATGGATCACAAGAAGAGATTGATTTGATGATTGACTGGGGGTACGCACACACCAATTCTATAATTCCTCCAAATTTTGCTCAGTATTATGCGGTCAAACCACAAACACCTCCCAGGCTGGCAAATTTTATTTTGCCCTGCTACCCTGTCCAACTTCCCTATATGAACCACCAAGGTATTTAAAATATCTCCTGCATCGACAATCTCGCCAGAAATCATTCTAATGCCATCCTCTAACAGTAGTTTGAACCTTGAGATGATCTCAATCGCAGGAATCTCAGAGCTGCCTGAGCCAAATCTCAAATATTCCTTGTTATAATGCAGCAACTCATGCGCACTTTATTCTGAGTTAAGTTCTGACTATTCACAAATTGTTTGCTCACGCACTTGACTAGAGAATTTTACACTTTGGAAGGTGGTAGTGAAATTGAAGTGTCTATGATGTACTACCTCGGTGACAACCTCGTCTGGCTTTTTTTTTCAACTGTTCCAGATTACTGTTTTCATTTCGCTGTAGATGAGGAATCTTGACTATACGTGAAAACACTTAAAACAAAAGGGGTGCTCAACAGCAAGACCGGGATACGAGACAACGACTCGACCCAAAGGACAACCACTGAGAGAAGTTCCTCGAAATAAAGTGGAGGGAAACTCTGTGAGCTAGGCGGGCGCTAATAGGCGCGAGAAGATAACGCGCGCGAAGGCGCGCGTGCGCGAGGCGAAGGCACGCGTGATGCGCTGAAGAGACTCGTGTGTCTCATGGTGTGATATGGCAGGTTTCACTAGGAAGTATACAGCACAAACTCGCAGCGTCATTCTGTGCGCTACCCACAGCTATCTCTATATGACGCGCAGCTTTCCCACGCAACGCGCGCCATGCGCGCACCATTCCCGCGCTTCGCGATGTATATGCGCGCGCGCGTTCCCGCGCTTGCGCGCCCTATGGCGCCAGCCATCCAGAAGCATCCATCCACTGTCCACCAAGCTCCCTAGTGCGTATATTTCCATTTCCTTTATTAGCATAGTTCCACCTTTATTTTTATCATGCATTCTCACTCATATATATATTTACATACCTACTCGGTAGCGCTTCGGCTCCGCTTGACCGCGCTTAGGCGCGCTATATAAGCGCCAGCAGTACATACTATTACTTACCTTTCACACCTTACTTTTCACCCAACTTTACCTAGTACTTACTACTTAGAAAGTCGCAGTAGAAATCTATTCATTAGCACAACACATCTCACATCCTTTATCTTGCTTATATCTTCACATAAGTTTAGTCTCTCTTATTTCCGCTTACACACGCGCGCTTTCCCGCGCTTCGCGCTAATACGCGCGCGTTCCCGCGCCTTTGCGCCTTGCGCGCTCCTGCGCTTTCTCGCGCTTCGCTTAAGCGCACACTTCTAGATCCTTGCTGCACTCACTTCCCCTATAGGGTCGAACGCACTTGCTTCTCAAGTAACGCAGACTAGGCAGCGCGCGACCTTACAACTTTTACAGATACAGTCAGGAGCTTCTTTTGTTCCTCATTGTATAGTTGTTTCTACAACTGGAGCCCACCGCGAGGGGAGCAGTCAGCAAGATCTAGTTTTGCGCATCTTCACACTTCACACTATTTAAACACATAAAGGTCAATCTCTTTGCATATTCAAAAGCTAACCAGTTTCTAGTCACGCATTCTCGCGCCTTGTGCGCGCGCTTTCCCACTCTGTGCGCCTCGCGCGCGCACCTTTGCACTTAGCACAATTCGCACATATAAGGTCAATTTCTTTGCAATTTCAAAAGCTAACCATTTTCTAGTCACGCATTCTCGCGCCTTGCGTGCGCGCAATAGTTCCCACGCCTCTGCGCCTTACGCGCGCACCTATACGCCTCGCGCGCGCATGCGCCTTCGCACGCCTCAATGCCTTATAGATTGCCCATCCGCGGCACAGCAAACGCGCCCAAGTTCGACGGCACTACAGACAACCTCGCCGAATTTATTGACGCATATGAGCAGCTTGCTGATGAAGCAGGACTCCAAGGACACGACCGCATTAAAGGTATTATCCGCTACCTTGAGCGCGACGATTGAGAACTATGGGGAGGTATGCCAGAAGCGGCAGTAAGTGATTATGAAGCATTCATGACAGAAGTGAAGGTAATGTATCCTGGATGGGATGGTAAAAGACGCTACGCGCTCGCGGACTTGCGCGCTATCGTGCGCGAATACGCTAACAAACCAATGACCTCTTGCACAGAACTCAGCAATTACCTGCGCGCATTCAGGAAGGTTATGCAGCCACTCATGGATGAAGACCGTATTGGAAAGGCCGAACGCGACCACCTATTCATGGAAGGAATCCCTAGCGATGCTCAGGCGCAAATTCGCTTGCGCCTTATGATCAAGTTCCCTGACCACCACCCATACGACCCATACCCATTCATGGACGTCTTTGCAGCTGCACAGTTCCTATTACCTGGGCGCGCTTTTCCCGCGCCAAGCGCGCCAGTAAGCGCGCCAGTTAGCGCACCCATGGTAGCGCCAAGCATGCCAGATACGACCATCAGCGCTAATGCAACAGCTGGACTCTTCTACCGCACACCCTCAGAAGTTGTACTTAACAAAAGACCATCAGTTCCTATTCACGCGCCTCGCGCGCGCGTCCTTCCCGCGCCTACGCGCAATTTACGCGCCCTTGAAGCATCAACTGCGCCAGCATGCAAAGCTATACCTGACTGCATCACTTTAGATCACGAACTCAAGCGCGCGCTCGCAAAGCACGCTGCAGGCGCCTCTTCACCTCCATCATCATCTCCTTCATCACCTGTTTTGCACGCTAACAATTCTCCTTCGCAATCCGCACCATCACCATCACCATCAATCGTATCACAAGTCAGGGATGACTCTAAACATCTATTGCACACTAACGCGCCAGTTGAAACATGCGCGCCTATCGCTATCGCATCGCGCGCGCCTATCGCCATCACCTCGCCAGAAGTCAGGGATGACTCTAATCATCTATTGCACACTAACGCGCCAGTTGAAACACGCGCGCCTATCGCTATCGCATCGCGCGCGCCCATCGCTATCATATTGCCAGCAGTCAGGGATGACTCTAATCATCTATTGCACACTAATGCACCGCTAGAAACACGCTCGCCCCTCGCTATCGCATCGCTTAAGGAAGAAACCTCGCCAATCGCACCATCACCATCACTGCTTGCATCACCAGAGGTCAGGGATGACCCTAAACATCCATTGCACCTTGGTGCGCCTATAGAGGAGCCTTCTGCTGCATCAGAGGCTCAAGTTGCACCTTGCATCAACCAGAGTTTGTCTCTGGAAATTCCAGATGTCACTCGCGATCACGCGCACATCGCACTTTTTGCTTCCAGTGACTATCGCATGCCGGTAAAGCATCCGTGCATCACGCCATCTAACCACCAAGCAGAGCATGTCTCAGGCGACCCTGGCGCGACTCAGGCGCACCATATTGCGCCTGAGGACGCGCAATGCGCGCGCCTAGAGGTATTGTATATTTACCCTCGTCTCATTTCGCATTTTCTGTCTCTTTCATGTTTAAAGCTCTTAAGGAGCTATATGACGCTTCCAAACACTTTAGGTTCATCTTCACACCACCCCTTGTTCACGCGCCATGATTACACGCATCGCGCAATACACGCGCGCATTCCCGCGCCTCGCGCATTCATAATTTTAGCAGAGTCTTCGCACTATCGCGTTTCAATCACTTCTCCCCTTTTAAATCTCATTTCTATCATTCAACACAAAGTATATTCCAATCAGTCATCCAGGCGCGACTTAGGCGCGCGCCTGACACATACATATGCGCCTAACCCCCCTATCATCACCTTTAACTTCGCACTTCGCACATTTATTCGCATTCTTCGCACTTTTGCTTACCATGTCAATTTCATTCCTGCGCGCCTTGATGCGCACTATTCTCCTTCACCTATGCGCCTATTGCGCCTTAATATACCACCCTTACAGCCCATTCACGCAACATTTGCGCCTAATTCTTCACTATACATGTCTCTCGCTAATGCATTTGCAGAGAAATGGCCGTTCCTCGCGTGTTCGGCCAATATATTTAAATTCGCGCGAAATTGCGCCAAGGCGCGCACATCGCGCGCATCCTATCAGCTTGTAGGGCGCCTCTACACCCCTTGCTGCGCCTCCCATTGGCGCGCCTTCAACCTGCAGCGCGTTGTGCAGGAATTCATTCTGCCAGTTACAAGCCCCCCCAAGCGCGCCAACTGCCTCGCGCATTCCAACCCTACCTTGGGTCAAGCGTTAGCTCGCAAGAGACGCGAAGCGCGCTAGCCACGCGCACTCGCACGCGCTCAAGGAGGAGGATAAAGCGCCTCAGCCGCGCATCAAAGGAGGAACATATACCAACGCTGTTTCATAGGATATTGTTTGTTTTACCCTGGGTTTCGTCCAGCGCTTTCATTTTCATTTTCTCTCATTATAATGCTGTCCAAAGAACTAATAACACACTGATATATATGCATATAGGAATCACTTAGAAGAACATAGAAGAAAAAAAACAATCATAGAACGTGCCCGCCTAGCTCAATAGTATATTTTCTCTTCGCATGCATGACGCGGCACCATGCTCCTTTTTACCTTAGAACGCGCACATATGCGCGCAGTCTTCCCACGCTCACGCGCACGCGCGCGTGTTCACGCACCTTGCGCGCACATGCGCTTTATGCGCGCGCTTCCCGCGCCTTTCTCATAGGAAGGTGTAGATGTTGACAGCTGCACGAAGAAGACAAGTCGGATAGGACATCCGCAACGTTTACCATTTTCCCTTCATATTTTCACATATAGTTTTACTCATGCTGTTCAAACCTTTAGCAACTAATATTTAGCACGCCTAATAGGACTTGGTTTGGACATGGATTGGATCGCTCCTGGACTGCGCCACTTCGCATCATCCCCACAGAATACAACACATGCGACACTCACGCGCTTTCTCGCGCCTTGCGCGCGCGCACTTTCCCGCGCTTCACACCATATGCGCGCGCACCTTCCCACGCCTTTGCACCTTGCGCGCGCCTGCGCTTTCGCATACATTGCATATCACGCGATAATTCCTGCACTCGCACATTCATCACCCAACAACCAAAGCATCGTACAAGCATCGCACTTGCATACTCTCACGCAAAATCCTCACCACGCGCGCGCTGAGTGGGGACACTCAGAATTT